CCAAAATCTGACAATATGCAACGCGTCCGCCGCAAGCGCCGGTGTTTTCAATGTTAGCGCGTTGCGGGGTGGATCGCAGGTCGATCGCGAGTGGGTGTCGGGTGGGTCGCGGGTGGGTTGCGCGTAGGTCCCGAATGGGTCCCGGGTGGGTCGCGGGTGGGTCGCGGGCGGGTCGCGGGTTGGGTCGCGGGCGGGTTGCGAATGGGTCGCGGGCCAGGTCGCGGGTGGGTCGCTGGTGGGTCACGGGTGGGTCGCGGGCGGGTCGCGGGGTGGATCGCGGGTAGGTCGCGAGCGGGTCGCGGGTGGGTCGGCTGGGTCGCGGGGGGGGGAACGACGAAAATAAACACAACACCAACAACAACAACCAACAACAACAACAACAATACTTAGCACGTGGGGACGACTCCGTTCCACCAGAAGCCAGGTTTTTCACATACGACGCTCGCCAATACCCCCACTTTGTGGGTGGGGGGCCGGTTCAGCTCTACCAAATTGTTCCAAACGACTCTTCGCCACCACCCACACCCAGCTTCCCGCCCTCTAGACGTTTCGGACACTTCACTTCGTGGCCTGCGACCTACGTGGGCTACTACACTGGCGCATGGGTACAGTGACTTGTTGTGGTAACATTTTCTGGACGCTAGCTTAGTATACGACTTTTCCCAAGTAGCTTGCGAAAGTAGCTCGCGCGAGCTTATGTAACATAAATGTTGAAAAACCATTGGTTTTTTAGGATTCGGACACCGCGCGCGGGTAGAAATTTTGAAAATTCGTACAGATGTTTTTCGAGGACCTACGGTGCGATTCGTATGATTTTATGTTGCGCGGTGCTAAAATTCCTGAGAAACCCAATGGTTTTTGAAGATTTCGGCGTGCGCGCGCGAAGAAAAAACGAATGTGTCCCGCATGGTATTATTTGACAGGGATGATGGCCCTGGCAGGTGCGCAACCGTTGTTGGAGAAGTTCGAAGCACGTGAAAAAGTTGCTCGCAAAAGCCCGTTTGACAGAAATGTTTAAAAAGTGTTGGGTTTCCTACAAATCCGCATGAGCGCGCGGGATGAAATTTGGACATTTTTTTTTTGAAAAACCATTGGTTTTTTATGTTTTTATTTTAAAATGGTTACGAACACTAAGGTTTTGGAAGGATTTCGTCTTGCGCGCGCGAATGTCCACTTTACATTATTTTTTGCAAGGGATTCTTGAAGTTTGGTTATGTTAGAACAAGGAATGTCCACTTTGCCTTATTTTTTGCAAGGGAAAACCGCCCGTAACAAAACAACCAGATCCGGACCAACCCGTTTTGCCGGAGACTTCCTCGCGAAAATGATGAAAACATGGCTGCGGCCTAGGCGCGGCGAGGGGGCCGTGCACCAGGGGTCCCAACAATAATTACTCTTTAGAAGTAATAATGTTCAACAACGCAACAAACAAAATCTGCGACACGGATCCCCTCTTCAGTCACGCACCCAGGAACAATGAATGACCGATCGGCCCCCTCACCCTGATTTGTAGTACTAGTAGTAGTAATAGGCGGAGTAGTAGTAGTAGTAGTAGTAGTAGTAGTAGTAGTAGTAGTAGTAGTAGTAGTAGTAGTAGTAGTAGTAGTAGTAGTAGTAGTAGTAGTAGTAATAGTAGTTATAGCATACTCATCATAAAAATGATCGCCGTCGGAGAAAATATTCCAAGTAGCAGTAGTAGTAGTAGTGGAGTAAGTAGTAGTAAAGAGGAGGAGGAGGAGTGGCAATACTACTCGTAGTAATATAAGAAGTGGTAGTAGTAGTAGTAGTAGTAGTAGTAGTAGTAAGCAGCAAGCAGCAGTATATAGTAGTTATAACGTATAGTAAGTAGAGTAGTAATAGTAGTAGTATTAGTATTAAGTAGTAGTCCGTAGTAGTAGTAGTAGTAGTAGTATTTCCGTCGTCGTAGTATGCAGTAGTAGTCGCATTGTAATAGCAATGCTACTCGTAGTAGTAAGTGTACGTATAGTAGTAGTAGTCGTATAGTAGTAGTAGTAGTAGTAGTAGTAGTAGTAGTAGGAGTAGTAGTGGTAGTAGTAGTAAGTGGTAGTAGTAGTAGTCGTAGTAGTAGTAGTAGTAGTAGTAGTGTTTGTTGTAGTACTTGTAATCGCAGTAGTAGTAGTTATCGCAGTAGTAGTAGTCGTAGTAGTAGTAGTAGTAGTAGTAGTAGTAGTAGTAGTAGTAGTAGTAGTAGTAGTAGTAGTAGTAGTAGTAGTAGTAGTAGTAGTAGTAGTAGTAGTAGTAGTAGTAGTAGTAGTAGTAGTAGTAGTAGTAGTAGTTGTATTAGTAGTAGTAGTAGTAGTAGTAGTAGTAGCAGTAGTAGTAGTAGTAGTAGTAGTAGTAGTAGTAGTAGTAGTAGTAGTAGTAGTAGTAGTACTTACCCGAGGCGTGAGGCGCAGGCTGAGTGCACGTACCCGAGGCGTGAGGCTGAGGCTGAGGCACTCCATCGGCGAGCATGGCGATCTGGGCACCACCGATGACACGCCAGTCCAGTTCTCCTACGCGCAGGGCCATGACACCGAGGTGTCATGAGAGGAACTGGGGAACGACCTGGCCGACGAGGCGGCCAAGGCTGGGCTCAAGCTCGCCACGAGGTGCGCCCGCTGCTCGAGGCGACGAGCCGCGTTGAGCCGGTGGCGTCGTGGATCGGCAACGTGTCGAAGCTGCTGTTCAAGGGGGCGCTGCCGCCCGATCCATTTGATCCTCCTCGGGTGCGGAGGCGCGCCGAGCAACGATCGCCACCGCGGCGGCCCCGCGGCGCGCCGCCGCCGCCGCCGCCGCCCGTGCCGCCTGCCCTCCCGCACCTCGTGAGGCGTCGGCACAATCGCTCGACCTCGGACGGGCTGGGGAGCTCGCCGCCTCGGGCGTGGCACCCGCAGGGGCGGCCGAAACGGCGGCCCCGTCGGCTGCCGGTGCTGCCTTCGCCCGTCGTCGACGCGTGCTCCGGCGCCCTGGTTCCGCCCGACCCTCCGCGGCACCCGGGCCCGAGGGCGGCCCGTCGGAGCCCATGGTGGCTTCCGCTCCGGCCACGGGCCCAAGCCTGGGGCCCGGATCGACCCCTGGCCCTCCCGCGTGCGCGGCGAGGGCGGAGGACGGGAGTCGGGGAGGAGCTAGGACACGCGCGAGGAGGGAGGGCAGGAGGGGAGGAGCTAGGACAGAGGGGAGGAGTCAGGAGGGAGGAGAGGAGGGAGGAGCCAGGAGGGGAGGAGCTAGGAGAGGAGGGAGGACAGGAGGGCAGGAGTGCGGAGCTAGGACAGGAGGGGAGGAGCCAGGCATCCGACGTCCCGACTTCTCTCACGCGGGACCCGACCCTTCCAGATGGGGCACCAGCAATGCTCCAGATTTCGTAATAAAGGGAGGGGGGTCTCATTTCGGGGGGGGTCTCTTCCAGGCTATCTTGGAGGGCCTGGGGGGGTCTGGGGACGATGTTTTGGAGGGTTCTCCCACGGGGGAGGTCTGAAATGGCTTGTCTTGGAGGGTCCAGATCCCCTCCCTTTTGTTACGAAATCTGGAGTACCTGTCCGGGTCCGCACGACAATTTTGGGTCTCCACTGGACCCCCGCGTCAGAACCTTTGGCGCCGCCCCTGGCGCGCATCGCGCTCCAAGAGGAGGATCCAGCGCGGACCTTGCGAGACTCTCTGCTATGCTGCTCTGGAGAGAAGGTCGTCGACTGCACGCAACGAGTAACCCTCGCAAGAGTGGCACCTCGTCCGCCAAGCCGGCTGCTGGGGGGATCCCCGCAGCGCCCCAAATCTGTTCGTCTTAAATCCGCGTGGCCCAAAACCGCGACGGTCCTGCGGCTCCGCGAGGGTCCCTGTTTTCAGTTTTCCTGGACCCTGCAAGGGCCCCTGTATACGCAAATGTGTCATTGCTTTCGGCCCATGCAGAAGCCAGAAACAAGAAACACCTTCCGCCATGATTCTGCATCAACAAGCAGCACATGAGATCTCAACAAGCACCCGATACGCTGGATCAAAGCTGCGGGCGCCAACCGACAGAGTACGGAAACAAGGGGCACGATGCCCAGCAACAAACGAGGCCCAAAAACCGACAGCAGCGGCCGCTGCTGGGCAGGCGGCCTCCTGCCTCAGATGGACAGAGCCCGCGGCTGCACCAACAGCGAACTCTGCTCCAAATGGGCAGGACCTGCTGCCGGTCTTCGTGCTCATTCCCGACCAGCCTGAACTGGGCGAGCTGTGGTCCTTACCCCCCTGGGGGAACCCATCGCATCGACGATCTCTCGAGAGAGGTGTCGAAATCGATAGGCCCCCCAGGGGGTAAGGACCACAGCTCCCCCAGCTGTGGCTCCCCTGCATTCTGTCCGTGCCCGTTGGAACAAATTTTCAATCAGTCGCGATAACGCCCGTCACAGGCCCCGCCCCCGCCCCCCCCTCCCCCCCCCTTGCTCACGGCACGATTCGTGCCAGAGCCGTCTGGGAAAGAACCACTCCTGGATATCCCCAGACGGCGCAGGCGCGAATCGTAACGTGACCGGCCCCCTCCCCCCCCCCCGTGTCATGCCCGTCATCGGCAGGGGATGACAAAGCGGTCTCCTGCTGCGGCGGCGGCGGCGGCGGCGGTGGAATAGTAATTTGCCGATTAGCGCAGGGTGTCGGCAACCCTCGTGTAGCAGCCCCCGAGCCATGTAGTGTTGCCAAGTATTGGGCGGGGTTATTAAGCACCTTGTTCGGCGGCGAGCCCGGGGGGAAATCAGAGGGGGCGGGCCTTCTCAGAAGGCTCGGAACGACTCGGGTCTTCCGGGCGGCTTCCTAAAACTTCCCCGCAGACACAGACAGCATCTGAAGGCCGGAGCGCTGCTGGCCGGAGCGCTTCTGAGAACCCCCGCCGCCTTCTGAGAAGGCCTTCTCCTTCTCACTCCCCCCCCTCGCTCGCCGCCGAATTTCGATCGTGCCGACTCGAGGCCGGGGGCGGCCGAGGCGCGGGGGCCGGGGCCGGGGACGCGCCGGGGCCGGGGACGCGCCTGCGGGGGCGGACTCCGCGTGCACTGTCCCCAGCGGCTCCGCGAGCGCGCTCGCGGAGGCCAGGCCCGCGGCGGCCGCCTCGAGCGGGCGGGCAGGCGCGGGAGGGCTTGGTCTTCAAAGTTCTGAGGGCGTGCTTGTGTTTCCCCGCACTATTGCCCGATCAAGTGATTCGGCTGGGCACTGCTGTGAAGAGCTACCTATACTCTAAAGTCTGAGGGCTCAGAAGTTGATGGTAGCCATAACGGGCTGGCGCTAGCAGCCTCACAGAGGGCCCAGGCGCAAACAAAAGCAGACGAGTGCTGCGAGCGCAACTTTGACTCGAGGGAAGGAGGATATCCACACCCCGCTCATAATAAACTGAAATATTGAAGCTGTCCACTTTTCTCTGTTGATTCGACCCCTGCCTGGCGACTCCAATATGTATTGATGATTTTCGACGCCCATGCTGAGACTCGGTTGCTATTCATGTGGCGGGAGGGCGGGTGGGAGTGAGCGAGACGGTTGTCCGTCGGTGGGTGAGCTTGATCACTGTATCTGATTAGTCCCACCAGCCCTTTAGGGCGTGACAGGTTTAGAGCGATTCCGCTTCACACACCCCTGTTTCCTCCTTCGGGGAGGGGTTGACCCCTCCCCCTACCACCTACGTACCCCTGCACCTGGATCTGGACGGGGCGCTTCGCGAGGCGTTGGAGCGTCCAAGACGGCTTCGACAAAAAAACAAGAATCATTGGTTCCCCGCCCGACAAATTGGGGTCGTCAAGTTTTTAGAACTGACATCCCGACAGGCCCACCCTGCATACCGCGGATGCCAGGTCCCAAGGACCACCGAGGATCCCCCGACCTTCCAGCCACCCACGCCTTCGACAAGCATGACAGAACTGAACAGAACGGCGCGAAACAGAGCACAGCATGACAGAGCATGGCCGAACATAGCATGGCATCACAGAGGATGACGCAGCAGCACACGGCGCACCTCAGAGCAGAACACCACGGCACACACGTCGGACCTGCTCCCCACCCGACGACCCGTTGGGGCTTTTCGCACCAGGCGCTGGCACAGACGACCAGCGCCCGCGGGGGGGGGGGGGCCGCCGCGCTGCGGGGGGCCACGCCTGCGCGGGGCGCGGTCCGCGGCCACCCGCGCAGCGGGGGGCGAGCCTCGGCGCCGCAGCGCTCGTCGCCGCCGCAGCTTCGGCCCGTCGACGCCCGAGGGCACCTCGGGCCGCGGAGGCCACCTCGGGCGGGGGCCCGCGCGCCTCCCGCGGAGGAGGCGCGGCAAGCGACGCCCGCGCCGCCCGGCGGGGTGCGCCCAGTGGCAGGCCGGAGGCGGCGCCTGGAGCTGGCGGCCGCGGCCTTGGCGCAGCGCCACGGCTCGGCCCCGCCAGGGGCGCTCGCCATGGGCACGAAGCAGGGCACGGGCGCGCTCTCTGCGGCACGTGCGGCGACTGGACGTGGGCCGGGAGCGTGCTGCGGGCCAAGGACCGGTGCCACTGCGGGGCCGGGAATGATGTGCAATGAACGTCTGTTCCTGCCAACGGGGCTTCTGTTCCTGCCAGCGGGGCTTTGGAAATCAGCCCCCTGCGGTGATGGATCCTGATGATGGTGGTGATGATCATGACGATGGTGATGGCATTGGACGAGGGCGATGATGATGATGATGATTGTGACGATGGTGTGGAGGGTGATGGTGGTGTTGGTGTTGGTGGTGAAGAAGATGATGATGATGGTGATGATGATGATGGTGATGATCATGATGAGCCCGTCATCATCAGTACCACCACCCTCCTCATCGTCATCGTCGTCGTCATCGGGGGAAGAGGGGGGGATGATCAGGAAGAGCATGGAAGGGGAGGAAGTCCACTGGAGGGAGAGCATGGTGAGATGCTGTTTCGAGGTCCACTGGCTTTGGGCGCCAGCGCCCGTCAGCGGGGCCACCGCGAATTGGGGGGTTCGCAATCCCCTCCTGGTCGGCGACGACGACGACGGCGACGACGACGACGACGACGACGACGACGACGACAATCGGTCCCAAATCGGTTCAAAATCGGTCCCCAGACCCCTGCCAGGGTGCATTCGGATCAGTTTCCCGTCCGGGATCGACTTCTGGGGGCCCCGGAGTCCGAAGCCGGCCTTCACAAGCCGAAGTCGAGGATCAATCCCCTGAACCGATGATCGCTGACACTGGTGTCCGTTTGCAATTTTTTGCGGCCTGGCCAGTCGGGCCCGTAGCCTAGGTGTGCGTGCGTCGAGTAGCTCGAATCCAAAATAGGTTGCAACCGAGCTGGGATCCCCCAGTCGCCCACGTCGTCGTAGTGTCGTCGTCGTCGTCGGTCGTCGTCGTCGTCGTCTCGTCGTCGTCGTCGTCGTCGTGTCGCGTCGCCGTCGCCGTCGCCGTCGCCGTCGCCGTCGTCGACGTCGTCGCCGTCGTCGTCGTCGTCGTCGTCGTCGTCGTCGTCGTCTGCGTCGGCGTCGGCGTCGGCGTCGGCGTCGGCGTCGGCGTCGGCGTCGGCGTCGGCGTCGGCGTCGGCGTCGGCGTCTGCGTCGGCGTCGGCGTCGGCGTCGGCGTCGGCGTCGGCGTCATCCTCGTCGGCGTCTGCGTCGGCGTCGGCGTCGGCGTCGGCGCCGGCGTCGTCCTCGTCGTCGTCGGCGGCGGCGTCGTCGTCGTAGCCGTCGCCGCTGCCATGCACGTCGCCGTCGCCGTCGCCGTGCCCGCTGCCGCCGTCGCCGCCGTCGTCGTCGTCGTCGTCGCAGTCGGTGCCGCAGTCGCCGCCGCCGCCGTCGTCGTCGCCGTCGCCGCCGCCATCGTCGCCCTCGCTGCCGTCGTCGCCGCCCGCCGCCGTCGCCGCCGCCGCCGTCGTCGCCGCCGCCACCGCCGCTGTCGCCGTCGTCGTCGCCGCCGCCGTCGTCGCCGCCGCCCCCGCCCCCGCCCGCCGCCGCCGTCGCCGCCGCCGCCTTTCCCGCCGCCTCCAGGGCCTGCGGGCCCCAGCCTCAAAATGGGTCCCCGGACCCTTTCGGGGTCCAAGCGCAAAAGTTTTTCGAGCTGCGCCCGACCGCGGCGACGAGGGGGGCCCCAGGGCCAGGAAGCCTCGAACCTCGATCCGCGAGAGTCGAACTTCGAACCTCGGCGCGCATCCCCTTTTCAAAGTCAACGAAATCCGCACAAAATCGGTGCCCAGAACCCTCCTGGGGTGCATCCGACGCAGTTTGTTGGTCCCGGATCGATTGTGCGACGGTCCCAGGGCCGAAAACTTCCTCGAACCTCGATGCCCGCCGCCGTGCCTGTCTTCCCCGCCCGTTGGTTCGCGGCGCCCTGGCACCGCATTGCCCCCGCGGCAACCCTCCATGCGGGCCGAGCGCCCGAGCGACGTGTCGCCCTCCGGGGGTGGCACGACGCTCGGGCGTCGTTCGGTCGTTTCCGTGAATTACGTATTTCCCTCTCCCCGCCTCTTCTTTTTCCTTCCTTCTTCCGTTACCCCCGTCTCTACACCCCCTTACACTCTCTCTCCCGTGTCTCCCATCTACCTTTTCCGCCCGACACAACATCCGGTCTTCTACCTCATTCCCCATTTCTCGTTCCTTCGTCGTCAAACGTCGTCGTCGTCGTGGTTCGTCGTGCGTCGTCGTCGTTCGCCGCCGCCGTCGTCGTCGTCGTCGTCGCGTCGAGCGGGCCGCGGGGCCGACGAGGCCTTGTCGCACCCGCGAAACAAGAGGTTCGGCCGTTTTCGGGCCTCAGGGGGCCCTCAGAGGGCCCCAGGCGTGACCCAAATCTGCGCGGGCCGTGACCCAAAAACGACTTGGAAGGAAGAGCACCTCGCCGCGCCGCGAACGAAAATCATGACGGGAGGTTTTCAGCCGCTTTCGGATTCCGAAGGCTCCTTACAGGGCCTTGGGACCGTCAGCAGAACCGGCTGGGACGGAAACCCCCTCCCCCGCGGGCTCCTGGGAGGGGGTGGCCGGGGGTGGCGGCAACGCGACCCCTGAGGATCCGAGACGGCCCACGAGAACCCCAAAGTGGCTCGGGCTCGGAAATGGATGCTCAGGACGGACGAGGGAAGCGTGGCGGAGGATGAGGAGGACAAGAGGGGAGGGAGGAGAAGGTGGAGGAAGAGAAGGAGCGGGAGATTGAAGCGGGGAGGAAAGGGAGGATGAGGAGGAGCAGGGATCTTCTTCGAGGAGGTGGCGTCGAGCAGGAGGAGGAGGAGGAGGAGGAGGAGGAGGGAGGGATGATGATGATGATGATGATGGTGACGATGCGGACGATGATGACGATGACGACGGCGACGACGACGATGATGATGATGATGGCGATGATGTCCGCGTGCCCAGCTAAATTTATAGCGGGTGCAAAGTGCACGTATTGCTGACATATCTTCAAAAGTTGATGTATACTAGGCTCCGGCTTACATGTGTGCATATGCACATATGTACAAACGTATTTCTATGCATGTATACACATATACGTACGTAAAACGTGGGCAGGCCCGTCCGTTCAAGTACACGCATACATATACATGCACTGCCATGGACAAAGTCTGCCAATCCGCGCGCGCACAATCATATGCACACATATGTGTAAGCATACCACAACACTCATACAGTAGGTTCGCGTCGTGTCGACCGGCGGCGACCCCGCCGCCGGCGTTCAACGTTGAGCGCCGGCGGCGGCCCAGAATCGCTCGACGTCGAAAGATCAGTCGTTGGGGGAACCGCCGATCGTTCAAGGTTGAACGATCCACGCGGTGTCGGCAACCAACGCCGGGGTCGACGCGACGCGGACCTGCCTTCTACATCTAAGTGTGTGCGCACACACATTCGCACATTCATTCACACATACACTCGAAAATACATATTCATTCGCATGCATCCACATGCGCTTACACGCATACAACTATGCATACTTGTATGTATATGCGAGTGTAGGCATTCACACAAACACCCGCTTTCACACATAAACCGAACAGAGGCTTAGATACATCCGTATCCATAAGTACCGCACGGCCGAGAAGGTTCAGCATGTGTTCTACATAGGCGAGTGGGCGAAACCACTCCCACATGTGAAACATATCAGAAATCCAGCC